ACACTTCTGAAATACTGAAAGCAATTTAGAATGCTTTGGCATAAACATTTTTCTCAGCTTAGTTGTTTTGTTTTTTTCTTTTCAGATTTTTTCAACTTACCATCACAACTGTACAAAGTAGACAGGGGATGAAAATTCTCTCTACATTTAACAGGTAAATATTAATTACCTCCAGCATACAAGACCTGACAATGTGCTGGGCCTCTGGGAAAAAAAAAAAAAAGTTAGTCTTGCAGGAAAGTTTCCCACATAACTCTAGTTGAAATCAAAGGAGGCAAGAAAACATCCTTAAGTAATTTAGGAATGATGAAGTGGGAGAAATTACTTCTGAAAGAAATCAACAAGGGCTTCCTGGAGGAAGTAACATCCCAGCAGGACCTTGAAGGACAAGTAAAAACTCTGTGTGTGTGTGTGTGTGTGTGTGTGTGTGTGTGTGTGTGTGTGTTAAGATTTTATTTATCTGAGAGAGAGAGAGAGAGCATTAGCAGGGGGGCAGAGAGAGGCGGAGGGAGAAGCAGACTCCCTGCTGAGCAGGGAGCAGGGAGCAGGGAGCTGGACACGGGATCCAGAACCTGGGTTCTTGATCCCAGAACCTCAAGATCATGACCTGAGCCGAAGTCAGATGCCTAACCAACGGAGCCGTCCAGGCAACCCAAAACTGTATATATTGTTTTCAGTGGCATATGTGAGACACAAGAGTGTTCTGACTGGCAAAAGCTCAGAGTCCCAGGTAAGAAAAATGGGAGATAGAGCCTGGAAGCCATCGGAGGCTTAGATGCCCATAAAGCTGGAGTGTGAGAGCACCCTGGTGTTTGGGTTTGACAAAAACTTGTAGACATGCACAGAAGCAAAGTCATAACGAAGTCTCCATACCCCGTCAAAGATGAGCTGTAGTGGTCAGCGACGTTGGCCACATGACCCCCCTTGCTGTGTGGCAACTTCTCTGGCCTATGGCACAGCAGGTGCCCAGCCTCATGGCATATCAACCTTGTTTTATCCCACGCTAAAAAATACGGACAACTGAAAAGGGAATTCTAAAGGCTAGGGTGATTTTTTTTTTTTTTTAAGATTTTATTTGTTCATTTGAGAGAGACAGAGAGAGCACAGCAGGGGGAGAGGCAGAGGGAGAGGGAAGCATACTCCCCACTGAGCTGGGGGCCTGCCAAGGGGCTCAATCCCGGGGCCTGGAGATCCTGACCTGAGCCCAAGGCAGACCCTTAACCACCCGAACCACCCAGGCACCCCAAGGTGGGGGTATTTTACATTGTTGTAAGTTTTGGGGATTTCAGACCAACAGGAACACTTGGTGGGAACATTGACTGGTAGCCCTCAAGAGAGGGGTTTCAGCAAAATGTTTCCCGTGGGCGACCAAAAGGCTTGTCGCGAGCCTGCACGGTTAGGGGTAGGACGGCGGTTCCGAGAGCTGGCTGGGCCGCAGGGAGGCCGCTCGCCGCCAGACAGACACCGGAGCGGAGTCCGCAGGCTGGACAGCTGGAGGCGTGAGGAAGCGGGTGGGTGATGCAGCGATAGGCACCCCACTGGGTGCTCAGAGCGGCTGCCGAGCAGCTGCGTCCCTTCCGGCAGAGGCCACAGGACTGTGGGGATGACCATCTGACAGAAAGACGATGAAGGGACGGACAAATGTAAAATCTGATGTCGGGGGCAGAGGGGTAAGTGCAATAAAGCAGAGAAATGACACAAAGGAGGTGGTGGGAGGGAGATCGGAGCCAGGAGACAGCGGGAGAGGGAGACCTTGCCCCAGGGCAGCCGGGGAATCTGAGGGTAGAGACAAAGAATGTGCAGGGACTTCAACGCACAAGGGTTCAGTTAGCTTCATTTTATAGAAAAGGGAGACGTTCCTGACTTCTAAGGCCTTTAAGGGCTAACCACTCTGGGAAGTGATTCACCTCCCCTTCGGTATTTCACTGCTAAGAGCCAAGGAGGCTCTAGCTGCAGCTTGGGCCACAGCGAGGAGGCAGCAGCGCACTGCCAAGCCCTGGGAATTCGGGCTGGAACTTAACTTCTCTGAGCCTCAGTTTCCGCACCTGTAAAATGGGAGGGAGGATTCCTATGAAAGAGGCTTTTGTGAGAAGCAGGTGAGCTCCCAGCTCCCAGCACAATGCTTGGTATGTAGGAAACAATCCTTTGCGTGCTGGATTGGAGCAGAAGTCATCCCCTGACCCCCTGGGGAAGCAGCGAGGGGGAAAAGCAACTGTCTGTCCCCTTCAGGGAAGATCCTCTGCAGGTTTCAGAACATTTCTCTTCAAAATGGTGACCTTCTCTTACATTTGGTTTGAGAATTGTTACTCAACCAAACATGCGCCCAATTGTTCCAGAATTCCTGTTGCTCTGGGGAAGCCTCCAGGATTCTAAGCCCACAGCTCCTGGTAAGTGGGAGTGGGAGTCCCACGGCGGTCAGCGGGAGACTCGTGAATGTGACAACGTGTGTGGGGGAGAGAACTCAAGCTTGCGAAGTCAGCTCAGGGATTCTCACTGCCTCCCTTAGAACTCTCTCATTTCCTTTTTCAGCTCCCATGAGCTAAGAGGCTGAAAGGGCCCTTGAGGGCAACTTGTCCCTCTCTGCCTTAAAGTCCGATGGAGGATATCTGAAACCATGGTGGTAATTGTTAAGGGGGGAAAAAGTTAGGCTTAATTTAATTTTGTCCAGCTAGCAGAAGTCGATTGGAGCTAACTTAAAATGAGGCCAGTTCTAGTTCAAATCACAGGTGGGCCGTCACTCCTCCGACCCCTCCCTTCCCGTTGCCTCTAATTATCACAAGAATTTAGACAAGTGTACACATTCTGAAGAGACTACAATTACATAGATTGACCTTGACTGCCTGCCGCTGTGATCACCTGCCTAGATAAACCCCTGCCAGATAGATGAAACTCAGCTCTTATTAAACAAAATTAATGATCAGTACCCAAACCAGTTTGGGTTAGATCAAAGAGTAAATGATCTTCCCTCAGTTCAAAGCAATTGCAAATGCGCTGTCTGCTGCTTCACAGGCGTGCAACCGCCCACCTATTTATTCAGGAAGAACAAAAAGCGATATACAGATATATATACATAACATTGACTATTTATACAAAATTTTAAGTCATTAGCTTTCAGGTACCTCTGCTTTTTCTCCAGTCGGTGAAGAATGTGGCTGTAATCATTAAAGTCTTAAGATATAGTGTTTCATTTTAGATTTATTAAATGAAAAGACATTAGGATGGAATCTTCTGGGTGACAAAAGAATTCATTTTCCTTCCCTTAAACTTTAAGACAAACAGTATGGAGAGAGATTCAAAATACACAGTAATGTCCTGGGAAGCCAGCTGGTGGTGGTGTGAAGGGGCATTTTGGGTTCTTTAGCACATGCTCATTTTTCTGGTATAAACACTCCCAGCCACGGCCAACACGAAGCTACCAACAGTTTAACAACCAACTCACAAAATTCCTGACAATTTAACAGCTGGCTCTCAGATCCTGCACGCCCTGGAGCCAGACGGAGGTAACTGGTTTAAGATTTCGCTCACACCTTCCCTCTTATTCGACAAGTAAACTCAGTTGTTAAGCCACTGAAAGTGTGAATTTCATACCATATGATTGCACTTGAACAGGTTTTAAAATGTTTCCTTAAAAATAGGTGTTCACTAAAAATCAGGTATTTAATAATGCAGAAACATAGTTACGAAGTAGTTTAAGTGAAAACAGTATGTTTGGTATGGTATAAAAATGACTATAAAAACATACCCGAAAAGTGAATCATTAATTTTTTTAGTTGTGAGATTATGTGCTTTATTTTCTTCTTTGTGCCATTCTTCTATTTTTCAGAATTTCTGCAATGTTCATATGTTGTATTTGTAATTGGAGAAAGAAGTAAATGGTAATATATATATTTTTACTACAGTGTTTCAGATTTCTCCCTTTACACTACTAGAATCTTATGGGGATACTAGGTAGGAAGGAATCAGATCAACTCTATTCTAAACGAGGCTATAAATCACTGTCATTTCATTTTTGTGATGCTTTACTGTTTTCAAAGCACTCTCATAAGCATTACCTAATTGGATAATCTGTGATTCAGGGGAAGGTTATTATAGCCTCATTTTATAGACGAGGAAACAAAGGCTCAAAATGATTAAATAATTTGCTCAAGGTCACATGGTTGAAGAAAGCAGTCCGACTGGGGTCCTGACCTAGGATTTCTGCTACCTGTGAGACCATCCCTCAAACACAAGCTGAGGAAGTCTCGCTCACAGCTTCTTTGTTCAAGAATTTCCCACTAAATGCGTAGACCCAATTCTGCAAGGAGGCCTTCTCCCGATGCTGCCCATTTTACATGTCCAGAGCTTGACTAGAACCATCCAGACAGGACGCATTCCATCCCGGCGCAGGTGCTACACAGAGCAGTGACCGCAGTGGGCCCTCTAGCTTGGAAATTTACAAACACGATGAGAGCATTTGCTGAGGACAGAACCCACACTCGGATGAAACTATAATGTTCTATGCAGACGTGGTTAGAAGAATCTAGAAAGACCATGTAATAGGTCCTGGTATTAGCTTCCAGAGCTTCTCCCTAAAGAACAGGGGAGTGCCCCTTTACGGGGATGGCTGACAGGACAATTTCTGGGTAGATCTGCCTGAAGACTCTTTGAGTCTCTTGCAACTTGGGCGGGAATGTCCGTGTCTTGCTTCAGCACCGCGTTCCTGCCCACAAGCCGTGCTTCATCAGAACTTGGCAAGCAGCAACGAGAACACACTGTTTTTCAGTTACAAGGAACAGAAACAAGAACCCATTGCCTCAAGTCTTGTCGGTGACAGGACGTGGATACACAGGATGTGTTTTACGGTAGCGTTCTGAGACCTCAGGCAAAAGCCAGGAAAGCCAGGCTTCCCAGCCTTCGGGAAAACAGGAGAGGCTGGCCCAGAATGGGGTGGGGGGGAGCCCCTCCTCCTGCAGGTGTCACAGAGCCGCACGCAGGGAGGACAAAGTATTCCCACCCGGAGGCCTCGAGGTGAGCGGTCCGGGAACCTGAGCAGCTCTCTGGCAGGGGCGAGAACATCCCTCAGTGACATCACGGGCAGAGGCCGAAGATGCAGACTCCGCCGTATGAAATGCAACTGTCTCCTGGGGTCTCCTTCCGGGGGCTGCAGTGCAGAGCATGTGATACAAGCGTGTGAGCTTCCCATCTGCACCCAGGAGTGTTCCGTTAGCTTCCTCTGAAGGACAGCCTGACAGCAAAGGCAACTGTGGCTAATCCAAGTCCGCACCAGAGGCAGCCCAGAGCACCTGAGCTGGGCTCGTCTCCTGATCCACAACAGACGCTCAGTCAGCACTTTGGATCTTAGAAATGATTTTTCACTGGTGAAATGAGTAGTTTTCAAGATGCGTGGCTGGACTAGAAATCCTGCCCCAGTAGGAGCAGAGTAAAGGAATTAGGGAGCCAAACCACCTGTCTTTGGAACAGCCCTGAACGTGACTGCTGGCCTGTTGCCGCCGCACAACAGGAAGTTAGAGGAGTTCCTGCTGTTACCGCACTCACCCATCTGCTCCAAATGAACTCGCGTGCAAGCTGCCCTGAAGCACCGGAGGGCACAGACACTGGGGACTGCCTCGAGCTGACCGAGGCAAGACGACTGTGCTGTTGCCAGCAGGGACAAGTATGTGCTGTCTCGCCACCACGTTCTACCTGGTCGCAAGTCTGCGTGAGAGGAGACCAAGGGGACTCACTAATCTCTAATTACCAGGCATTACTGCCAGTCTATCAAAAATAATAACTGTAAATGAGTCAGTCAGTCCTTTTGTTGGGACACCTTTACGTATTCTCAGAAATAAGTAGGGAACTCCTGAGCAGAAACTGAGTTGAGTTCCTCATACATACTGAGTACTAATGTTGTGCGGCCTCATCTGAACCCAAAACCAGAAAGGCGCCTGGAGAAATCTGGGGTTACCTGTACATGCCCGAGCAGGCTTTCATGGCGTCAGGATTTCTGAGTTCAGTTAAATACCGCAATTCAGTTTTAAAATACTTTGTTTTCATCTTTAGTCTCCTCCTGATTTTAAAGATAGCACAGGCTTACTCTAAGTCTCACATTACAGAATATTGAAAATTCCCCAGAACCCCGCCCTCAGAGAATGACTACTGGTCTCTTTGGCAAATACTATTCCAGATTTTGGGGGGCATATAGGAGTAAACAAACAGACCCAGAGGAATTCTACTACCATGAGACTTTATGCTGTTCGGCTCCTGTGCAAGTTTTCAAACAGTTCTGACAAGTGATTCAACTGACCGGTTTCTTCAGAGAACTTTATGCATCCATTTTCAGAGAGAGTCAGTCACACAGTGGGAGGAAAAACCCCTAAGAATTTTTTGCCATTCAATATTAAATATTTCCCAAAGTATTAAAGGTGAATGAAAATTTTTTTTAAAGGAAATGAATAATGAACTCAGTACAGAGAGAAGAGTTCAAAAGATCATGGCAGTTTCTTAATCAACACAAAAGCTACTAAATTCCAGTTTCAGCAAGTATCATAAAATGGCTTTAAAATTCAACTTCAGGAAATAACCATCTCTTTACCATTTATTATATTGTAAAGTAGTTCTACAATTCTTCTCACTTGATCAATACAAGAGAATATGCATACAGCCCTTTAGAACTCCTTCCATTCTAGGTGAAATCAAATGATAACCAGAATTGCTACATATGAAAGAAGTGTCCATCAGCAGGGAGTCCAGAGTGGGGGCACTTAGAAGATTTCAGCTTTTGCAACTGGTAAAGGACAATTTTGATTCAACCTCCCATAGCTTCGTTTGTAAGGCTTTCAAAACATCTTCCATCTATTGAATTAAAAAAATATTTTCAGATACACATAGATTATGATTAAGATCATACCTGATTAAAATACGTATCATTAACAAAATTTATGAAAAGTTATGCATTTATACACACACACACACACACGAATTTATAGTGGAATATTATACTGCCATAAGAAAGGCTGAGATCATGCCATTTGAGACAACACGGATGGACCTACAGGCGATCAGGCTAAGTGAAATAAGTCAGGCTGAAAAAGACAAATATTATTGATTCCACTCATAAATGGAATCTAAAAATATGAATAAACAAACAAAGGGCAGAATTAGACTTATAAGTACAGAGAATAAACTGACGGTTGCCAGAGGGGAGGGAGAGGAGGGGGTGTTGGGCAAAATGGGTCAAGGCCTCCAGTTATGGAACGAGTAAGCCAAGGGAGTAAAGGAGTATAAGGAATACAGTCAATGATATTGTAATAGTGAGGTAATAGGACAGACAGTAGCTATACTTGTGGTGAACAAAGCATAATGTATCAACTTGTCAAAACACTTAAGTTGTACACCTGAAACTAATGTAATATTGTGTGCCAACTATACTCAAATTTTATAAAAATAAAAGAAAAATAAGTTAACGACAAAAAAAAGGTATGCATTACACGTGAAAGTGTTTAGAGGCATACTCTGAATTTTATGTAAATAAGGCATCGTTCTCAGCCTCTAACCTAGAGCTTCTATCCACTCCTCGGTACCTTGCCTATCTGCCATGGGACGACATCAACATTCAAAAACACTTGCAGGTTGTTTAGAACAGGAGAACTGAATCAAATGAAATATAGTTTACTAGTTTCTGGATCTATATGGTTTTGATTGAGACATGAAACGTCTTATAATTTTTTTTATAAAGCTTTAGCATAAGTTTGGCTAACCCCCAAAGTCAACTTTATGAACGCCTAAAATAAAACAGGCGCTCTCTTACCAGGAAAGTACTAAGACCAAACCAGACGCCATTCCGAGGGCTGTCTGTGCAGGAGCGCTTGCGCACTAATAGGAAGTTGTTCATACAAAGATAGAAAAAGTACAGAACAGAATTACCTGCTTTAGAGACTTTTCTATTTCAACTCTGCTTTCGAGATTAAAAAGTTCTTTATCTTCTGACACAATTTGCTTTTCCGAGGACCCTAAAATATAACTGTGGTATAGCACAGTACAAAGTTAAAATATGAAAAAGAGGCAAATATGAAATTCATGTTAGTTAATAACATTAACTCTTACACTATGTATTTGTACCAAATGAACATAAAATCACGTTTTTGTTACTACTAACTTACACAGGAAGTTGTACCACCTAAAATCAAGTTTTTCTCCAAAATACCCTGGTCCAGGCATTGCTTTATATTATCCAAAATTCTAAGTATTTCATTCCTTGAACAAACTTGGTCTTTAGTTAACCAAGTAGCAAAACATTAACATAGTTCAAAATTCTTTTTTAAAAAGATTTTATTTATTTATTTGACAGAGAGATCACAAGTAGGCAGAGAGGCAGGCAGGGAGAGCAGAGAGCCCAATGCGGGGCTCAATCCTGGGACCCCGGGACCTGGGATCATGACCTGAGCCGAAGGCAGAGGCTTTAACCCACTGAGCCACCCAGGCGCCCATCATAGTTCAAAATTCTATAATTAAAAAGTTTTAAAAGATTCTGAAGAAGCCACTGCTTTTTTGCTTTCTATAAGTTTTTGGGAACATGGGTACTTTCAAATTTGACTTTTAGTAAATAATATATGGAGTCAATTCTTGGTGACTTGGATTTGCCAACTTCAACAGATATCCAAGTTATGTTTCACTCAGCTCTCTCAGGTTAGGAGATGCCGTGGTGTAGAAAATATGAGACAAGAGAAGTGTTGGCCTGGAAACAAAGAAAACAGTCCCTGGGTTGGTAACCCAATAAGTCTAAACAGGAAACAAGAAGGTGCTAATATTTCTCCAAAGAAAGTTGATGAATGTGCGTTTCTTCCAAAGTCTTTCCTCACACGCAGCTACTTCAGCAGGTCACTTCTTTCGTCAAATAAGACCAAGCCTCCCTTGGAAGCCTTAGTGATTATATTTCTGAAAAATGGCATGGGAGGTAAAAAGGCAGAAGGCAATTAACATCCTGTTTAGGAAAGAAGAATGCCATGAGGTGGGAAAGGAAGTGGCGTGCAGTAATTTACAGAACTGTAAACAGAGGCGCCCAGCTGGCTCAGTCCGCAGAGCACGTGACTCTCGATCCTGGGGTCATTGGTTTGAGCCGAAACTGGGTGTAGAAATTACTTAAAAATAAAGTCTTTTAAAAAAACCCCAAAAGTGTAAATAAACACTTCTAAAACCAACCAGGTTCCTTGGCATTAAAATTCTTTTCATCTTGGGGTGCCCGGATGGCTCAGTCGTTAAGCATCTGCCTTCAGCTCAGGTCATGGTCCTGGGGTCCTGGGATTGAGCCCCGTATTGGGCTCCCTGCTCGGTGGGAAGCCTGCTTCTCCCACTCCCCCTACTTGTGTTCCCTCTCTCACTACGTCTCTCTGTCAAATAAATAAATTCTTTTCTTCTTAAACTATTCTTCTTTCCTGATGTATAAGGTTTTCAGGCATCTTTAAAGGCTTGAGGGTTACATCTTTTGCAGGATAAGTGAAAATACATTGGGGTCAAATAAGTGATTTAATTTTGTTTCCTATTTAAAAAGGTTCATGAATTAAAAGGCCACTAAGATGCCTGAAACTCTTGGGTACCTGGGTAGCTCAGTTAGTTATATGTCTGCCTTTGGCTCAGGTCATGATCCCAGGGTCCTGGGACTAAGCCCCATGTCAGGCTCAGTGGGGAGCTTGCTTCTCCCTCTTCCTCTGTCCCTACCCCTTGTTCATACATTCTTTCTCTCTCCAATATATAAAATCTTTTAAAAATAAATAAATAAAAATTAAAAATAAATAAATAAAAGCTATCTGAAAACTCTTTAACTGACATCTGTCATCAGCCTCCTATCTGCCTTGTTTCCAAATGTCTACTTTTTATAGAAATCTTAGAGAATGAAGGCACTTCCTTGCATGCCTCAGAAAAAAAACAGGTGATTCCTTACTAGATGCAAGAAAATAAATAAAATCTTTAAAAAAGATTGTATTGGACTTTGTATTTCTGCTTTTCCAGAAGACCAAAGGGACTTCTTCCTAACCAGTTTTGAAATTCCAAATCCTTCATATTCTAGATGGCTAAAAACTTGGGAGAGCGGGGTTGGAATAAAATGGACGACACATATTGATCTGCACAACTGCTTAAAAAATCCTCTTAAACTAAATCAATTTTTATGGAAAACTGAACCTATTTTTATTCTGAAAAAAACATTCTCACAGTGATTTCTCCTTACAACTTATAATGTCTGATTTTCCAATACCAAATACATCAGGTCAAAACAAACAAAAAATCACCAGCTCTACTGTCAGAAATTATTACTTGAAAATATATTTTAACCAAACAGTGTTGATTTAGTTCTGATGTTTTCATACCAATTTTTCTCCAAACAACTTTCCAAGAAATCAGTTACAAGGTATTCATTTATTCAGTATACTTACCTTTCAATGGCTTCCACACTGAGGCAAAACAAGTCTCTCTTGTAGTCTAGACTCTTGGGTGTGCACCTGTACACGTAGCCAAGCCTGAGTGAGCACCCCGTGCAGGAGAGGGCCTCCAGAATGCTGCACAGAGGAAGGACCATTGCTTCAGTCAGGGAAGGAGCAACTCATTATCACAAAAATCCCACTGTTAAAACCCATAAACGCTTAATATTTAAGTTGCTAAAATATGTTATTCCAACCCTACTAGGTCACATGTTATGTATAAAGAAGGAAAAAAATAATAGTAAAATATTTATATTAAAAAATGTAGACAGTCACCTCCAGGCTACACTGCCTGCAGCACCTAGTGACAGGGGACATCAGAAAAGTGACAAGGGAGGATACTGATGTGGTGTTTTTCTAGAATGTAAATGCCTCCATCTGGTATTAAGAAAAATTATCTAAAAATTAAAAATAAGACAAGGATTCCACATGCCCTTTTATTGGCACACTGTCCAACAAGCCCACCAAGCCTCATGAACGCTCGGGGACAAGGAGGCAGATTTCTTCTGCGTTGATCCGGGAAACAAGTATCTTCAGTCTGTAGGCCGTGTGGTGTCTGCTACAATGACTCACCTCTACTATTACAGCACAGAAGCAGCCACAGATAATACATAGCTGAATCCACACCGCGTCTATGTTCCAATAAAAATATACTTCCAAAATAAGTGCCTGGCCCATGGGCCATACTCTGCCCTCCCGGAAGGTAACACTGGTTGCTCACTACTACTGATTAGGGCCCAGACTCTCCGAAGTTAGATGATAACTTATAGAAAGGAGATTAATAAGATTGATAATTTGTAAAATCAGAAATAATTTTAGTCTGGTAGAGACACAAATGTTCTCTGCTAGTAGAAAAGGTAACCTCAAAGGCTGAGGCTCTGTTGTCCTGCAGGACAGTAACTAGATTTGTTCCACAGAGAGACTCCTTCCCTAAACCAGCTCTGTGAGGCTCCGACTCCCCGAGCAATGAGTTAAATAAATCTCTGACATGTGCTCATCATGTTCCTGTTAGGGGTGCCTTTCTCTCTTTTTTTTTTTTTTTTTAAGATTTTATTTATTTATTTGGCAGAGAGATAGCAAAAGCAGGAAGGGCAGAGGGAGAGGGAGAAGCAGGCTCCCCGCTGAGCAGAGAGCACGATGCGGGACTCGATCCCAGAATCCTGGGATCGTGACTGCCTTTCTCTTTTTAATTACACTTTGACCTAACACTCTTCTATCCACTACAGATATGTTGTACACAGACAACTCACAAATATTTTACTTGATGATCCAAGTTCTCCACATAATTGTTCCTTCATTCTAGTTATTTCTCATCTCAGGCTCTGCATATTTGAATATCATCTCCCCCACAATGTCAATTCATGTCTTCTGAAAATCTTAGAATCCAGTCACCCAAATGCCCTGTCAAGTTGACCTATCCAAATTTGCCAATGTTTAATATCTATAATAAATCACAGTCCCAACACATAGCAAACTGATAACTGAAGATTTAAATCTAGGGATCATAATATAATATACATCACAAAAGATAGCTATTATTTCAAAACTCCTATTGGTATTAGCCATTTGTAATAACTACAGAGCTATTCCTGTTATCAAAAAGTGGAGCCAACCAAGACTCAAACAACATATTAGAGACTGCATTATTGTTTACCTAAAGATACTGAGAGACTTTAACTACTGCAGCTACATATGGAACAAAGAACAAAATGCCCAATAAATGATAAGTCCCTACTGGTGATATAATTAGCTAGATAATATGCCACTGATCATATATTAAGCTTCTATATGTTTTTATATTTTTAAAAATATTATATATTTTTTAATAGTTCAAATTTATATTTATTTTTTATTTTATATTTCTTAGTAAAGCCCTGGAGGGAACCCTATCCATACTACCAAGAATGAACAGGAAGATGTCCATACTACATCTCGAACTTCGTCATCTCTGTGTGGCTGCCATACACAATTACCAAGATTGTGAACAAACATATAATGCAGGTGTAATCACCAAAAAGGATACTTAAATAAACCTAAAATACAAAACACACTCATCAACAGATAACAGTGTCTTATCCCAGATTACCCAAATCAAAAAACAGCACTGAGGAACACACATGCAAACCCGTTCACACCTCCAGAGTGACCTTGAGGAACAATGGAGAGAGCAGCACAGTTACTGCAACGTCCTTCTGCTCTCCCCACTGGCCAGGATTTGGCCAGAACTCAGCCTTAACACTGAACAATACTGAGAAAGCAGTGCCAGAAATCTTAGGGTGATTTTTCAAAGAAAATGAGTTTTCGAAGAAAAGAGTGAGCATGTAAGAACCTTAATGAATGACAGAAAGAACCCAGGAAACGGCGCTGCTAACCTCACAACACGTTTCTAAAACCCCCGAATGCCCTTGTTGGCCAGATGCGGAATGGCTCAGGTGGCTATCCGGTCAGACAGGCCCATCAAAAACTTACGAGCATCCCAAGGCAATATGGTAGGTTATTTCCCCAAGTGCAGAATATGGGACCCTAGTGAATGTCTTGAATTTAAATTTATGTGGCAAAAGTGATGGGTTCGGGTGACACAAGTAAACAGGACTAAATAACAATGGCTCACAGCATAGGAGTCAATTCCCCTTTTCAGTTCCCTATCAATCCCGATTATAAAAAGAAAGTCTCAGTCCAGGGGTAGGAAATCTTTAACAAGAATCTCACAGCTGCAGATCTCTTAACAGTGAGAATCCAGACCTCAGGCTCAGAACCAGTCAGGTGATAGCATCTTTGCTAGAGTTTAATAACAATTTGTTTCCACTGTGGTTAATTTCTAGTTCAAGCAAATGATATGGCAGTAATATATCAGATTCCTTTTGAAATAAATTTAAATGAAAATCTGGAGTCAATGTAATGAAAGATATTAAGTACATGATAGCAAAGCTAGTATGTGGATATGGCAAAAATGGTGAAAGTGGCATCAAAATAACTAAAATTGGAAGGAAAGAAGAAAGAACACTTTCCAAGAAGGAAGGAGAGACAGGCACCTGGTGGCTCAGTTGCTTAAGCAACTGCCTTCGGCTCAGGTCATGATCCTGGAGTCCTGGGATCCAGTCCCACATCGGGCTCCCAACTCCGCAGGGAGTCTGCTTCTCCCTCTGACCTTCTCCCCTCTTGTGTGCTCACTCTCTCTCTCTCAAATAAATAAATAAAATCTTTAAAAAAAAACAAAAAAAGAAGGAAGGAGAGACACGGGCACCATCCTAGCTCTACTAAACAGTCCTATGGTTTAAGCAAACTTCTAATCTCGCCAGGTCTTTCTTTATCTACAGAATGAGAAACGATCTAAGGCTGGTTTTCCAGACTGAGGTCCCCTGCGTCCCCGCAGCACCGTTTCCGTCACATCCACATACTACCTGTACTGTTATTAATTTAATTCTCCTTAAAGAGGGTAACTTTTTAAGTTGAAATACACTTTATTTGAATAGGACCCTCCGGCACTACTTTAAAATGAAAAATGAGTATTTTTAAATACACACTAAAACAAATACATGATTATTAATTTCTGTGTAGTTGTTTGTATGCCACCTAAAGTTACTTAAGACAGATCAATTAAGACACACTTTGGGCAACAATTATACAGGCAGAGCCTTCCATTCAGTTTACTGAGAATGCGGCTTATAGCAGTGGGTGGCAGGTACGCCAAGATGGTGATCCCTTCGACCCCTGGAGCTGTAGCACAGGCCCCGGACTGCTGGAGGCCCCGTGCTGGTTGCTTCTGGCCTCGTGCAGCCTTGTCTGTTTACCTCAACAGGCCACATGTCCACGCGTGTGAGTGTGATGCCAGCATTTTCTATGGGTAACATAACATTAAAAAAAAGTAGGTAGCATTGGTCTAAGGCACCCTTTGGCTGGGATTTTATGATACAGATAATTTCTTTTTCTACTTTTATTTTCAACTTGCTTTAGCACTAAGCCCAAAGACCCAGAAGAGAGTGTCAGAATGTGACTTTGGAAATTCAGAAACTCTTTCATCGCAATATCTAAAAATGACCACCATCACTCAAAAATTCTTACATTAAAATGACTGATTCTGTATTGATCACCATGAAGAAAGTTATATCCCAACAACTCTTACTGGTAATGACCTTATTAAAGATTTTTAGTTGAAAAATAAACATCTTCTCTAATACATATATTCACACAGATAATAGCCTTACTCACCAACCATTTTCATTTTTACGTTTGGATAGTATCTGTTCCTTATCCACAGCAACATTACAGGAAACACCTACAGCAAAGTAACATAACATATTAATGTGGTTTGCTATAATACACCTGCAGATATTTAAAGAAACTCTAACTCAATTTTTACTTTAGCACTCAGAGAACCAGAAAAAATAAGAGCCCAGAGTCACATATAAACAAAGGTGGTTCAAAACTAAATGTACAGAGGTCTTCTGGAAAAAAGATGGCAGAATGAGAGTTACTTCTTTCTCTTCCCTGAAAACCACTGACATTAATAGAAGGAGTAAAATTAGCAGGGAAAATTCAACAGCCAATAAAACTTGAAACAATTAGAACCTCAATCACAGACTGCCAAGAATACCTGCAAGGTATAATAAAAGTGGGAAAACCCCCAGAAAGATGCTTAAAGCCCAAGTTTCAAATGCAGAGTTCTTAAGGACCTGGACAAAAATCTTTTAATTAGACCATGTCTTGGATAGGGTCACAGTTGACCCCAGAAGCAGGAAACATTTCCAGAGGATCCAGGTCCAGGATGCACTAAAGGAAGGGATATGGGATGGAGGGAAATGAAGAAGGGACATCACACCTAAAATGTCCACACTAACCTCAGGGCTCTTGCACTAGCTTCTCTCTGCCTGGAAAAAGCAAAGAGCATGACCCCAGAATTGTACAAGTAGTCAAGTTGCCATTCGTGTATAGAGAGAACAGAATGACATTTCCAACCATTCAAACTTGAAGTTTTCTTGGGGATTGGGGTGGGGGTGAAGAGTGTCTATTGATGATAATGAAATAAACAACTCAGAAATGAGAAAGCTATTAATAAGCTTCCTTGTATTAATAAGAGTCCTGGAGTTAAAAAAACAAATTCATACAAGAAGGTATATTAAGGTTCAACAACCACGCTATGGCTACAGAACAGAATAAGTGTGATAAACCTTGACAAACTAAAAATAATCAAACTAACTCAAACCGAGGCAGGAGGGAATAGAAATTAACCAAAGAATTCATTTCTTTATCTTTCACAGCAGCAGTGATGAAGAGGGGGAGTAAATCGAATTATCTAAAGCTGATTAAGTTGTTAAAATTTAAAAACTGATACAAAGTAAATGTGTTTTTATATATATTAAAAAAAGGGGAGGAAAGCATGTGGCAAATGATAGAAGAGAGACTGTAAAAACAGAAAGTACAAATAAAATGAAAGGTTAAACACCAAATGTATTATTTCTTGCCTACTAAGAAAAAGAGATTCTCCTACAATATCAAAAATCTCAACCCAAGTACACACTGTTCTAATGGCAGCAACTCTGGAAACAATCTAGACCTCCAACAACAGACACAGATTGGGAGGATTAATGGTATCTCCGTGGTGAATTTCTTCCAAATATTTATAGAATTCAGACATAAACCTGATTTGAAAACCACAAGTCCAAAAAGAATAGCCATTTTTACAGCCATTCAGAAAAATACATGTGAACCACTCCCCTAAGTAAATACTAGGAAATCAACAAAGCAGAGAAACACAGAGGTAACTGGCAGAGCCAGTATTAGAAGCTAGATTTCAAGCCACCTTCTTGACTTGTTTACAATTAACTCCTTCCTCTCCAGTTTTGAGGAGACTGTTAGTGTTTTTATTACAAGTTTCCTTAAAAAAAAAAAAAATTCTGATAGTAATGTGTTCTGACAACTCTAACACAACTAATAAGAAAAACCAATCCTGACATCCCCCTGCAGGAATCAGGTAGCTGAAAAGCTTCATTTCCTAAATAAACCATGAAAATATTATTTCCGAATTAACAGCTAGCTAATTTCTGTGGGGATTAATAGAGAGTGGCAACATCCCAAATGCTTAAGAGTTCAGGTCACTTTTTACTGTACAATGCTCACAAAGATGCCGACTGAATCGCTGCTCTTCTGGGCTGGCGGAATCCCAGAAAAGGACCCATCATTCGTGAGCCCAAGGTGCAGGGGTGACCCTCCTCCTCCCTTTTTCCTGGGACAGCTCACCTTCTAAGATTTTTTTGCTTTTAAAAACCCTGGACGGCGCCAAAACAGCCCCCTCCCCTTCTCCTCCCAGGCCGTCCAGGTGAGGCACAAGCTCTTCCCCACCTCCTCACCCCCACCCCCACTTCCCACCCAGGCGCGGCAACTGACAGCGCAGCAGGATGCAGTTGGTGTCCTCCTGGCTCGTCACCCAGCTCAGCGAGTCGCCCAGTGGCCGCCTGCAGCCGGAGCACAGAAACACCAGCGGCCTATCCTCCTCCTCGGCGGGTTCCGCAGCCTCCTCGCGCCGCGTCCCCTCTGCACAGGCCACCGACGCGTCTCCGCTCACGGAGTTCCACATGTTTGCCCACTTCTGCAGCAGCTGGTGACGGCTCGAGTCTTCCGAGAGCCGCCTGCCCAACAGAGAGGAGTCGCTCCACTTGCCCTTGTCACCGCCACACGTACAGCTTGTAGAAGAGCATCCCTTGCAACAACTGGAAGACCAAGCGGCCGCCATTCCTCCAAATAGCCCGCGTCGCGGAGCGCCACGGGAAATGCGCGCCTGCGCCTGCGCGGGGCGGGGCAAGGAGGCGGAGGCCAGAAGGGAGTGGGGCCTTAGGGGGCGGGGCCTGGGAGAGAAGAAATGGCGGGCAACCTGCTAGGGCGCATGCTCTTTGTCGGGCTGAGCAGCGCGGGTTCATCTCTGGGGCTGTGAGATTTTCCATCTTTAGGAAATTGAAGCTGCTGGAGATCCGGCGGCCAGTCTACGTGGGGAGCGGTATTGACCCCCTTTACTAGTTACTAAAGTGAATACGCCGCCTCACACACCACCCAGGGAAGAGGAGTTGGGGAACACATCTGCTTTCTACAGCTTCATTCCCCCTCCTCCAGGCTGCAGCCCCTCAAATTTCAGCGCGCCCGAGGGTCACAAGGAAGCTGGTGAAAACAGATTTCTCGGCCCTGTCCTCCCAAATCCAGCCAATGGGTCGGGTGGGCCACGACGCAGTAACCATGAAGCAAACTGCGGAGAGTCTGTTTGCTCTCCCGGACTCTGATTCTTCGTGGATTAAATGGGTCAGTACCGCACCGGGTTCTTTACGAGGATCCAGTGAGACGATGGGATTGGAGTGCTCTAAAGTGCTGCGTCCGCGTCAATTAGCCTGCAATGGGGGGAAAACTGCCTTCTCTCCTTTTTTGTGTGCAAGCAAGCTTGACCTCCCTGGACTGCTCTTTTCAGGCACAATAGTATCTCCGGTACAACCCACATCTGTTCTTTAAGTAAGTGGATAGTAACTCGGAATTCAAAGGGATGATCTCCTTGCCCCCGACTTTGGGTTTTTATTGTCAACACTTAAATTCTGTCGTGGGATATCACAGTAAAGAAGGAATGCAAAGAGGGGCTGCCTGATTAGTTTCTCACCCATGCACTTTTGCCTTAGTAGGCCCATTTCCCCATTAATAATAATTATTATTATAATTATAATACAAATTATATTTTATAACTGTATTACTATAAAGATGAATATATATATTTTGTATTAAAACATTTTCTTTGACCTTAAAGTTCCTTTTCCTCTTCTGATTTTAAAGGAAATTCAAACACTTTCATGGGGCTGTAAAAGTACCATGGCCCTAGGCACTGTGCCTAATGGAGAAGTCGGCCCCAAGGCAAAATGAACCCCTCTGTCGTCACAAGTATGTTTGTATTATGAATATAAAGTATTTAGAACTCCACAAAACCGCATTTTATGTGGGGACAAAATTAGATGCTTGAGTAAGATGACCTTGAACTGGGTGGTGGCAAGTGCTTCCTGAACAGCCATTCCAACCCCTCCTCTTAGTTACACAACTGGGAGATTTGCATAAGGTTGAGTCCCACCCTCAAGTCCCCTAACATCACCCCAAATTCCAGGAATGGATTAACCCAATTAAGGTAACCCATCTCTCTTCCACAGTCACGGTGCAGTGATGGCTCCTACCCAAGACTTGAGCCAATCAATACATCGTGCTCCCCTGGTGATAAGGATTCGCTCAAATTAACAGCTTGACCTAAGTTATCAAGTTTTGTCCAGTCAGAGTAAATCTCAAGACTCTTGTTCAGGGGTTGAGGGAAAAGATGTCCTCTTTGTTCCCTGGGTCTGAACAAAAAAGCCCATACCCAGATTGCTTCTGGCAGCCATCTTGAAAACATGGAGAAGGGCAAAGCTGAGCGATCACAGAGATACGGAGCATGTGACCTCCGGCCTCTTCTAGTTATGTGAACCAACAAATCCTCTTTATTGTGGAAGAAGGTTTGAACTGTTCTGTTTTATCTAGCAACTAAAAGTGTATATAACCATCTTTTATGGTATGTTAAAATTGAGATTTTGACTGAGACTCCAAGATGAGGTAAAAATGACACACAAAACATGTGTGAGACAGATTGCCTCCCTCCCCTGGAGGGATCCTCAGAGTGGATGTTGGAGAATTAAATCCCTCCTGCCCTAACCCACCTCCCACATTTTGGTAATATTAAGGACTGGAGCAAATAGTGACCGAGATGACTTCATAAGAAGGATTTCTTTGGAGACGGGCTGGGCTGTGAGTTCCACTTCTCCCCGGTAGAGGAGGTGGAGGGTATCTGCCCCCTTGCCTCAGTCCAGCTTCGAGGAGACTCTGAGGAACCATTCTCAGGGCCTGTGGGTTCCCAGGTGTTTGGGGTTACAGTGACCAACAGGAGAATCAAGCAGCTAAGCTGATTTGGTGGAACAATGAAGATGAGCCAGACAAGTTGTCAACCAGGTATGAGTTTGCTGATTTAAACTTCACATCTGGAATCTTAAATTCTGCCCAATATAACCTGGAAGGATAATGATTTTCCAGAAGTGTGAATCCAAGTGTGAAAAGGCCCAAGGGGAGAACTTCCTGAGTCATGGGTGAGCAGCTTGGGGTGAGAGTGCAGGGAGCTTCTGAGGGGCCAGGAGCTTTTGGTTCTAACCACGCCAGGCCAGAGGGCGCAAAACCAGGTTATGACAGAACCAAGTCAAGTGAAAACCATTTTGTCCCTTTTGTCCCCCATTTCAACCTAGGAATGGAAATAGCCCAGAACAGGTAAGGTGAAAAAGAAAGCAGGGCCAGCCACACACCCTTCCCCTACTAAAGGAAGGTGTCCACCTACATGTACCACCTGGGGGAGAGGGGTAACAATTCTTGTCCTGGAGAGAAGACTGCAGCGTTGATTAATATCTTGGACTGGATACTATCATTCTGTCACTGAGATTCTGTCCGCAACTAAGTAGCTGCGTAACTGTTTACTCCCTAAGAGAGTACACCCAAATTGCAATAATATGGGGAGGGTTTCTTTACAAAGTGTCAAATGAGAAAGGTATAGACAGCATGTAGGAGAGATCGATCCTCGGGGGATCTGGAACCCATGTTAACAGCCTTGACCCACAGGGATGTGGGGAAGGCGTTCTCCCAAAGAAAAGAGAGCTATGAAGAGCAAACCACCTTGGTAGGATCACCCTTCAATCAAGGGATGAAGCCAGCTGAGTTGACCTCACAAGGAGAGAAGCAGGAGATTAAATTCTTTGACCTTGCTCTCATCCGTTTGTCCAGTTTCCTGCTGGGGCTCCCCGTTGTCCAAGTTCAACAAGCATCCATAGGGCACATAGCATATTGATGTGGCCCACACGAGTCTGGTTGATGAGTGGATCTTGAGGGGCAAATGGAGGCAACCCCAAACACAACTTGCCCTTGTATTCATCCAGAGGCAAAGGAAAGGCTGTCCTTACCAAATAAGTTCTAAGGTCATAGTTGGAAGCAACATTCAAAATAAGATTCCGTTTTGACTCCATCCTTCTTGCTCAACATACTGATTACTCAGACTACCTGATTATAACCCTCATTTCTGGCTGGGTTCAAAAGCGTTGATGTCATTAACAAACAAATGCTAGCCTAATAAATATCAATGGCTAGCCACAGTAGAAAGAGAGAGCGAGAGACAAAACAGGAAAATTTAACTAGGGGAGAGGAGAGAAGGAACCAACCCCCCCCCCCACAAAACCTCCCCCAAAGCAAACAAACAAACAAACAAACAAAAACAAAATGGGGAGAAGAAACAAATGAGACCTTGACAATCTTGCTGGAAGCATTTATGCCTTTTGGACTGAGTTAGAGATTGAGGAAAATTAGAAATTAATGGTTGCTAATTACAATCATGGACTGGATTTTAATTGCTACACTTCCTTACTCGTACACAAGAATGACAATGAGGAGTGATTGCTGGTCCCTGCAGTGAGTCAGCTGGCCCCGTTAGTATGTAGCGAGCTGGCTGCATTTGAGGACCACTTGGTCCCACTCTTACTGGTGGAGATACTGGGATCCAAATGACATCCCCACCTGCCTTCCCTGACCATCTGGCACCAAGAGAATGCCATGGTAGGCACTCAGCCCCTGGGGACCTTCTGGCACAATCAGAGCCCTCCTCATTGGGATAAAATGAGCTGTGGGAAAAGTTTGGTTGGATATTTCTGTGCTTCAGGGGTGAAACTATGGGAAGATGCTTCACCTTCTTAAAAATCCTCAGAGGCAGGATGTTCTTTAAATAGGTCTGTTTCCCTCTGCTATTTAATGTGTGGAATCACGCTTTTCTGGTCTCTAACAGAGATATTTAATTCTCATGCAAGTTAAAAAAGAATAAGGAGAAAAACATGATTTTCAGTAAATTCATAATATATTTGGGCTGGGAGAGAATCATAGAGATCCTTCGTCTCTGTGTCTCACTCCACAAATAGAAAGGCTGAGGCCCAGCCTGGTTCAGAAGTCATGGATCTAATGAGTGGCAGGGATTGTGGACATCTGGGCTGTTACATGTCCAGCACCCTTCCCCTCTTCTTGGGAAAACTGCTCCACTCCCTCCCTCATTCCAGCAGTTTGACTGTGGTAGGGCTGCCCATCTTGAAGGTCTTACCCAGTGTGTACCTCACCCCAGACCACCACCTTCCTGACCACAGAGATTGATTCTAGTGAGAACTAGAGCCAGTCTGAGTCCATCCCTGGAACTTTTCATGCCAAAATTTGGAGGGAAAGTCCTCTGCTTACTCATTCCTCTTGAGTCATGACCCCAGAGCTGTCATCAGCCATGCCCGTCCCCCCAGCTATGTGGAACATCCTGACATGACCCTGACCTTCAGAGAGAAACAAAATATGAGGTGTAGATGAAGATCAACCAGTCGCCCTCCAGTTCTGTGGATATCCCTCACAGCATGTTCCCATTAAGAACCACACTGATGTTTAAGCTAGTTAAAAATCAGGTTTCTGTCACTTACTACCAAGAGTCCTAATACACAGATTTCAGTCTAGAACCTAGGTCCCTAGACCCCAAGTACAGTAGTCACACCACTACACAAACTGTTGAAATATAATACCACATGTTTATTGGTGCTTTGTAGTTTTCAAAACACAGTCTTTCAAGGCGACTAATTCAGGAGAATTACAATATCATGTAAGAGAAGAATGCTTTTCCAGTAAAAATTC